ATATATTCCTTCTAAAGAGCCATTAGAATTCTGCCTCTGGCAAGTTGACTTCAAGTAAAATGATACTCATTTTGAAGATGTGGATTTAACTTAATTGGGACAGGAAAAAAAATCTTGAGTAGCAAACTGCTACATGTGAAATGAAGGACTGTGTTCCTCATTCATCAGGGATTTCTCTATGCACTTTTTCCTCTGTCAGAGGTAATTTAGAGATGCAGCTGTGTTAGTCTGAAGTCAAGTAGAAGGTAGGTTTGTACCTTAGACTGACCAAAGTAGATATATACTGTATTTACCTGAATCATTTATAATTTTCCATGTATAGAAACTAATTAGGAAAAAGTTGTCTTATATTTGTTGTTGCCCCCTCCCCCTGCCGTGCTGTGGTCTCCCCTGCCACTTGTCCCTCCATGCCTGTGCCTATCCCCCAACACCCTGCCTCCCCCCCACACTTCTCCCCATGCCTGCCCTGCTATCCCTGAAGCCTGCCACCCCACCCCTTGTCCACAATCCTTGTGCCTGATCCCTGCTACCTACCCCACAAATTTTGCACCCCCCCCACTTACATTTTGCAGCAGCTCTGCTCCGGTTCTAAGCGATCAGCAGAAATGGCAGCAGCTCCTAGCCCAGCCAAGTCAAGGTTAGAGCGACCAGAGCCAGGGCAGAATGTATGGGGGGGAGGGGGGAAAGAGGCTGGGGTCACTGCAGGCAGGGCATGTGGTCAGGCTGCATGGTGTCCCCTGTGCTCCTGAACCACAGATGTTGACCACCCTTGCTCTCCCTGCAGCTACTCCACAGTCTCCCCCATGCCCCTTCCACACCAAATGAGCCATCACAGCTCAGGGCAGGCAGCCTGGGATAGAAGCCAGACCTCAACCACTGCCTTCTCCAGGCCACTACTCAAATCTAAGATAAGACTCTGCCCCTCACTCCCCAGGCTTATGGGGGGTGGAGGGAATTTCATTTTGGATTCAAGTAAATACAGCGTGTGTGTGTTATATGTCTGTATGTATAGCACATGCTTTTGTGAGGTGAAGCTTGTTTAATCAGATGCTGTAAAAGGAAATGTGGAAAGCAGAGTATAACAAAGGAGAAAGAAATCAGAAGACAAAGAGACAAGGGTAACATACTTATCCTTGAACCCCTATGCAATCACGCATAGTATTTTTACAAGTCATTTTCTGAAAACTAGGCAAAAAATATCCAAGGTAAAAGGTTTATTTAAACTCAAATACAGGGCTATGGCTCTCTAAGCCAGATATGTAAAACAGTTTCCAAAGCAAATGAAGCAACACTAAGGTGTATTTCATCATAATTCTCCAATTTTACCCAAGGTACTGGCATCTGCCAGTATAAAAGGTGCCCTGACTCCTCAGTCTAGTGTCAATTTGGCATCAGAAGAACATGCAAATCTCAGCAGCCACTTACTGGGCTACACTCACATTCGACAGAAAGGTACAGTTCAGTAGTTTCAGTATCCTAGAACTATCAAGGTCAAATTATCCTGGGATCCTAGAACTATCCTGGGATCCTAGGGATCCTAGAACTATCAAGGTCAAATTATATACTCGCATTGTGGCCTCAGAAGTGTATGCTTAAGAATTAAGAGCTTAAAGAAGTAAAAAGAATATATGTAAATACAAAGGACTTCCCCACTCCCTTAGGGTCTGAACCAGATTGGCTGGTGAAGAGAAGAAAGAAGTAGTATCAGACTATGTGCACCTACTGTAGACAGAAGAACCCACCCACTTTGCAATTATTCAGCATCTATGCCTGTTTAAGAGTCAACCTGACTGTTTGAGCGTGCAAGTGATACTTTTCTTGCATTATTTTTGTAAATGCATCCATTATACCTGCACCAATGTCTTCTGTTGTATAAGCTTAGATTAAATTGAATGCATACTAGGGAAAAGTTTCCAGGGGAAGAACAGAAGGCACAACTGTTTAGGACTTTGGTAAAACATCTCAATGAATTTTTCATCACTTCTGATGATGTCAGTGACAGGACAAAGTGGAAAACATTAATCCTTGAGAAGTGACCCTAGCTGATTCCATTCTATGCTTTATGACAGAAAATGAAGGCAAGCTGCTTCTTTACAAGTGTTTTAAATAATCTTGCTGTTGTCACGATCATCTTATCTTACCCTCTGATCACATGAAAAAAAGGATTAGATCTTGCTGGAATCAGAAGAATATTTAAGATACCTGGCCACATTTAGATCATCATGGTATACAGCATCATGTTTTACACACATTTTGTTCAAAACGCACACTGTACAGTAGATAACTAATTTAGATAAAGCATTTGAACACACATGCAAGACAGGATGACAGAGTTAATTACTGTGGATAATTTGATAGACTTCTTCCTTTTCTAATTTCTATAAATCTGTGCAAGGCAATTCTCCTAGGTCTTACATCAGTTTGACTTTTCCTCTTGTAGGCAAAACACCATACCTCACTTCTTGTTTGTTCAGTATTATCATACATCTTTATCTCATAAGGCTTTTCAGGGCAGGAACTCCTTTTTGTTTGCTTGACATGTTATAACTCTTGTACATCGTTTCAGAAAAAGGGAAGAAAATGTGTCAAAGGTACTGTATATTTACAAAGTACTTCACAAACATAGAACAGACATACTTTGTCCCTTCAGAATTTTATACCTTAACACAGCAAAAGAGGCTCTGTGAAATTCAGTAGTGGTGCCAGGTTTCAGTGGCTATACCAAAAGACAATCCTGCTAGCATCACAGAAATCTGCACTGACCAATCTGGTGCTCAGACATGATAGCTTTTACTCATCTGGAGAAAAGAAAATCCCACATTTTGCAATCATGCTGCCCATGCTTTCAGTGCATCTCCCCCCTTTAAGGGGAAAGATTTTGTTCAAGATATATTCCAGTGAGCGGCTTAAAAAAAAATTAGTAGAAAGTACAAGCTATATCTAAACAAATCCTCACAGAGCCCACAGATTTGTGGCCTGAAATACTACCATCAAAATAGGGGACAAGTCAAGGTTTTATGGCACCAAAATATTCTACCATGGTGCATCCCAGTGTGTAAACACCACAAGTCCCCAAATCTGGCACCTCAGTTCATGCAAATTTTGGCCCCCATTCCGCAAAGTCTGGGGGTCGGACCTGATGATCTGTTTAGGTCCCTTCCGACCCTAAGCACTATGATACTATGAAAGTTGAAGCCATGAAAAGAAATCATGTGCTGCTTACTCCCACTACTCAAAAAAATCTGAACTGTGATGTGTTCCAGAAGGCAATAAATGCAAAAACCTTAGAGTTAACTGCATTATTGGAAGTTTTAGCCTTTTTGCATAGCAATTTTCAAGTTCAAGTTGTATAAACAAGTGCAGCTGCTCCGTTTTATATCTGTACCCCTGACATATCCAGACTTCACAGAACTAGAAAAATATCATCTGTCAACTGCCAATTCTTAACCCAAACCCCAAAACATCCGAATAAAGAAAATGTAACATTTACAAAGACACCAGCAACACAGACCACATTATTGTTTTTGTAGCAGCACTGTAGTAACACGTATTCAACCACAGATACAAGCTTTTGTTTTATTTTGCTTTGTTTAAATCCCAAACTCCAAAAACCTACCAATCAACTAGTAAGGAAATGCAGCTTCAAAACTTCTGGCTGTAGTGCATCGTACTTCATGGCCTATTGCGCTATCACATCTGACACTTGGAGCCTGATAACGCTGACCTTTGTTGACAGTGCAATTTGGGAACCAACATAAACAGCTCCTCCTAGCAAAGAGGAGCTGCTTAGTCCAGAAAATTCAAATTGTGATGCTTTCCAGTATGAGAGCAATATAAAACCACTCATCCAACACCTGGATCTTGTCAGATGCATTGAACATTTTAGACGCAAGCCACAAAATTCCACTGCATACACACTGACCAAGAACAGCTGCTTGAAGCCTGCAATAAAAATCCATGCGTCTTTGTACAGGAACACTTGAGAAGTCCTAACATAGGTCTGGATGCATCAGGACATTCCCTATTTTGCCCTTCACCTACATGCTCCCAAATCGTCACTTCTTGTAAATCTTAAGAAGTTCAGGACTTTCATGGAAGACTGAGCTTTGGGGAACACCTGGGTACAACATATAGCTCAGCATTCATTTAAAAAACAAAATAATAAGTTAAAATGCCCAAGGAGCAACAGAGGATAGTTCATTCTTCCCTAACTTGTTTAAGGTCCATACAGTAGTTGGCAGTAAAGGGACGACTTGGTCAGCCTCCTGAGTCCTAACGAGCGCAGTGATTCTTAACTGAGGGGTGTCCCCTGGGCTGCTCCAAGATCCTATCCAGGGTGCCATGAGGTGCCACACAACGTTAGCATGGGCAGGTGTGCCAACCCTATTCACAAGATAAACCCAGAGACTTCAAACAGGGATCCATCCACAGGGCTAAAACCCTCCTGAGCTGCTATGGGCTTCCTGAATTCTTTGCAATGGAGCAACTGCTCTGTGATTTTCCCTGTCACCATAAAAAAAAAGGGGGGTGGGGGGACTTAAGAGCCAGCATTTCCCAATGGCGCCTCCAGTCTGACGAGGTGGAAAACCCCTGGACTAGCAGGACAAGCTGGGCACCATGATCCTTGGCTCCCCCAAATGCCAGGCAAACAGAGGCCGGTGCAAAGGCCAGGTAGAGACGCACCTTTCCAGGCGAGCTCAGCACCCGCCCTGCCACCCGGCTGAATCGAAACTGGCTCTACCACTGTTAGGCATTCCCCAGCCCTGGCTCAGTAGGTGGTTGGCTCCCTGGGGCAGCTGGAGGGACACTGAAGGCGTGAGAACTACTTGGCAGAAAGGCTGGTGCCCATTTATTGCGCCGCTCGCCAGCCAAGCGCGTTACCCATGTAACGTGTGCCAGGAGCCTCAGGTACATCTGGAGCAGGCGCAAGCCGCCCGCCAATGGCAAAGGAAGCAAACCCCAGGACCCGGGCTGGGAGGGAGCATGGCCGGGCGACTCACCGCTCAGGTAGTTGGTCCACTTGTACAGCACCCCCTCCATGGCGAGCACGGCCCCCCCATCCAGCCCCGCCGGGGCCCAGACCGCCCCCCGCGCCGCCACCAGCCTCTGTCTACACCGCCGCGCCCCGCCGCCGCCGCCGCCGCCCCGCGCCTGGGGCCATCCTGGGGCCGGCTTGAAGCCCCGCCTCCCTAGTACCGGCCTCCTAAGCTGCACCGCGCTACGCCGCCAGCGTAAGCTGAAAGGGCCCCCACACCCCTCCACCCTCTCCCTGACAGCGTAAGCTTGTCTCGGAATCGTAAGCCACGTGACAGCGGGCCGCCGCGGGCCGAGCCAATGAGAAGGCCGCGCGCAGAAGCCGGGTCTATTGTGCCGAGGTTCCACGGGGTTCAGCTGCGTGCGAACGTTCTCTTCCGGGAGCTCCGAGATGGCGCTGCCCCCGGCTGGGCGGGGCGATTGGCTCCTTCCAATGGGTGGCTGCGTTGGCAGGCCCGGCCCCCGCAGAGGACCAATCCGAGGAGCGGTTCCTGGGCCCTGTCGCGTGCCGGGGAGAGGGGGCCGCCAGCTGATCCGAGCTTTGCTGGGGACGGGTTTGCCACGTCTGCTGCTAAGGGGGGAGGGAGGGAGGGAGGCGGGCGGGCGAGGGTGGGCTTGACCCCATGCAGCACCGCCCCCCTGTGCTGCGAGCCGCGGTCCCGCGGGTCACCGGGCTCCCGTGAAGTGACAGGGGGACCCATGCGGGGACCCCACCGGCAGTTGCGGGTGTCCAGCTAGGGATTGAATCCACTCGTGCAGGGAACCTAAGGGGTTGCTGGAAAGTGGCAGCTGTAGGCACTGCTTGGAACTGCCCCGAGAGAAAAGGTCCTGGGAGCGTTACCTCAAGGAAGGCCTGGGCACCTGAAAGATGTGGCTTTTGCATCTGTAATCCAGACAACATTTTTTTCTCTCTCTTTTCCATTTAAATTCCTTCACGGTGAAACCAAAATGATGATTGTGCTTTGGGCTCCTTTTTTCCTCGCGTGTGTTCCTTTTGCGGCTGGGGCTCTCATTCCAGAAGCCGAAGTGAAGGTTGAAGTGCTCCAGAAGCCGTTTATCTGTCACAGGAAGACGAAATGGGGGGATATGATGCTGGTCCATTACGAAGGCTACTTGGAAAAAGATGGTTCAATGTTTCACTCCACGTAAGTAGCTCTCTAAGTAGGTGAGATGAAGTGTAGCTGAGCAGTTAAGTGCCAGCTCAAAAGTTTTCCACAGTGATTTTTTTTTTTAATGAGTCTAACCACTTTTATAGTTATTGACTGCTCTGTGGCACTAGAATATAACTGTAAACGGAACCGTGTTCCCATTTAAAAAAGTGAACATGAGTCTCTTTTCTTCTCTGTCTCTTGCAATACGGATGATATGCAAAAGCAAGTTCTTGGCTCCCAGTCCTCCAAAACACTCCAAACAGACAACCCCTTGTGAAGCTTATTAAAGGACTGGGATTTAAGTAGCATGCTTTTCAGTTTAGGTACGGGCCTCAGGCTTTCAAATATACATGTGAGTAACTTTATGCTCAAATGTAGCCTCACTATCTCCGTAAGACTTCTCTCTGATATAAAGTTATGTCGGACTCTGCAGCATATTTCCCAAAATCTTACTCTAAGAAACCTAATAGAACCTTTCAGTTAAAACCATCTTTCCATTACAGAAAAAAGATGTTTCCAGCAATGAAATAATAAACTGCACTCAAGGAAAGGAATAACCAATCAAAATATAAGTCAGTCAGTCAAACAAAAAAACCCCCAACAGTTTCCAGAAACAGATTTTATTCCCAAAAAGAAGTATAGCCAAAGTCTTGCAAGTCTTAAGTCTGCAAAGGACTTAATCACTGCTGAGTTTTACGTGAAAGGAAGTCAGCTCCAGTTGTGATGGATATTAGTAAATATGCTAAAATACTTAATTTAGGATAGGTCTAAATAAAGACATAGAGTCAATGTACAATCACAGTCTTCTTGTTCTTTCTTTACAGATCAGTTTTAGCTAAAAGTTGATCCTTGTCTTGTACAGCTAACTACTTTTGCCTCTTGTAAAGGAGTTCTATTGTCATTCTAACTTTCCAGTGCTGACTAACTTCTGTAAGTTTTTTTTTTTTAAGTACCTTAGTTAAATGTCTGGTAAATAGAGCTGTTGATTCAAACAGGATGAAAAATCAATAAGCTGCAACACACTTTAACAATATTTTTCCATTTATTTTTTTCCTAACCAGTTTTAAAGGAAGGCCCTAGTTCAGTGATCCTCAGCCTGGGTGTTGTGGCTCCGTGGGGTGCCTTGAGAGCCTTTCAAGGGCACCACAGGGTTTTGCACTGTTAGGTGTGTAAATATGATTCACGAGATAAACCCAAACAATTCAAATAGGAATCCATAATACTAAAACCATTCTGATTTGTTGTGGTCTTTCTGAGTTTTTTGTAATAGAACTACTCTATTATTTTTTTGTAGACAAAAAATGAATGAAAACTAGGAGCTGGTATTTTCTGAGAGGTGCCTCAAGTCTCTGTAAGAGTGCCTCAAGTTTATTATGGGGTGCCACGGGTCTTAAAAAGTTGAGAACCACTGCCCTAGCTGCACAGCTCTAGAACTATGAAGTGGATGTAACCAAAGCAGGATTGGGGCTGGGCAGTACTGGGATAGGCTTAAGTGCTGCTGAGGTAGAACATGTACTCTGAAATCATCGGGAGACTGGTTTAAAACAAATCGTAGAAAATACTTTTTACACAGCACGTAGTTAACTTGTAGGCCTCATAGGAAGTTGTAGAGGTAGGTTGTCTAATTCTTTTTCTAATTTAGTTATACTAGGTAGCAAAGGCAAGCAGTCAGGTGGTGGCCCTAGATTTTAGGAGGGCGAACTTCAACGAGCTAAGGAGGATAGTTGGAGAAGTGCTGAAGACTCAGAGGGGAGGGGAGCCGGGTGTCCAAGGGGAGTGGTCGCTCCTTAAGGAGACGATCCTCCAAGCCCAGAGGAAGGTAATCCCCAGGAGGGTCAAAGGGGGCAGGAGAGCATATAAGCCTCCATGGCTC